GATAAGGTGCGGTAGTTCTGAGCAAGTTTCTTTAAATGGATAGTGTTTTTGGAAGCCAAACTCTTCCTTTCTTGCATCCCAAGCCAAAAGGATATCCTTCTTACATAAATTGAATGGAATCCTACATTGCTGACATTCAGAGAAATGCTAATTATAAATCTGTTAACATTTTGCATGGTTTACATGAGGAAGATGTGGACAAAACTGACATGTTTTGCTGCAGCTTCATTGAGCTTTTGTATTCGCTGGTCTCGGACCTGTAGTCTTCATATTAAAGATACAATATTGATAGACTCAAGACCCATAATTCCTGCCTTTTGAACTATTGGTCAAGCCTGGAGGTCAAGTTCCAGTTCAAAATATAACTCCTTTATTTCTGCCTTATGTATTATGAATACAATTTGTTGATATGTATTAAAATATAGAATATTCATATTCTTTGTCCCAACAACATTACTTTAGATACTTAATGAGAATACAAAATATTTTAGGAATTTTTTTATAATAACAAGGAATTGGAGGTAAATTAAATATTCAATAACAAGTGGCTCATTAAGAAAAGTACAGTATATACATACTGTAGAGTGTTTGACAATCTTAAACTACAGCATATATAGAGCTATATTTATTGATCCAAAAAATGCCCATTGCATTCATTCAGATATCAATGAAGAAACAAATTATAGAAAAAGCATGTAGAGAATATCATGGAGGTAAAATTATGTATGTGTAACATCTGTATGTGTACAGATACATTAAAATACCGAGAAGAATGTTGTACAAAATACTAGTATAATTATCTCTGGAGAGTGGAATTTCAGGTAATTTTAATGTTCGTCTGAGACTTTGTTTTTAATTTTCTCAATATATGTGTATTATTTTGGGAAAACAATTACTTTGGAAAGAAAAAGAGTATAGTTTATTGGGTTATATATCTAAAGTCAGACATTGCAGCAGATAACCCCAAGCAAGAAAACTCTATAACTCATGTAACAGTTACCTAGAAATATAGCCAAGTGGATCAGAATAAATGTGAACTGGATCAAGCCTTGAGTAAGGCCTCGTGTCTTTGGGATGTCCTACTCTTCTGCTACAGTGGTCCAAACAGTCCTTTCCCTCCTTAAAACTTATCTTCATTTTTGTGTATCACTCAACCTGCCCTGGTGAAACCCGGATAAAAGCAAGTGTCAACCTGCAGATCCTGGCTGGATTACAGTTCTTGTGGGGGATGGGAAGGTGGAGAAGTGGTCACATGTTTTGTGAAGAGTACAACTCTTTCTAGCGTCAAAGAGGAAACTAGTGCTGGAGGGATTTGGGGGACATGAGGCACACAAACCAAACTATGCTTTCTGTCCTCTCCATTGATTTCTGAGTTTTGTCCCTCAAATACAGGATGATGAAAGTAAACAAGTCAGATCTCAGAGAGGTCAATTAACAATATGGCCTTAGTTTTTTAATCTGTGGAAAGGGGCTTACATGAGTTAATAGCTATGTATAGATTTTCTAACTTAGGCTCAGATATTCAGCAATTATTTGTGTGCCAACCATCTACCAATCTGGTGTAGGATCCTAGGATACTGGTACAGAAATGGACTAAAATCTTGCTCTAGGGCAGATGATAAACATTGACAAGTCCAAGTGGAGAGAGGGATGCAGCTGTTTGTACAGGGCTGTGGGAAAATGCTTCTCGGGTAAGGTGACATCAAGTAGCCAGGTGAATGAGAGGAAGCATGTTTCACTGAGAAAGGGATCATGAAACACAGTCTTTATTCCAAGGGTCTTTACCAGATCTGTAATGTATTCAGAGTCTCTGGTTTGAGAAATAAATGCATTCACCTCTGATCCGCATTTTGGGAGGCTCATTCATTCATTCATTGATTTAAAAACTGAGTTTCTGTTATTCCTCAGGGTCTGTCTTAAGTACTGCAGGTATGAAAGTGGAAAAGACATGGTGCCTACTTTCCAGGTGCTCATAATCTAGTGAGAGACAAATAGAAACAGACATTGGTGGAACAGTGTGATAGGCACAGATAATATGCAGGAGAATATGGAAAAGGAGCAGTTGGCCCTGGTGGAGATGAAGCATGGTTCAGAGTGGGCTCCAGGCAGTAAGCCTCTCCAAGATGATTCTAAACCTCCAGAAGGAGGGGCTCAAAAGTCCTGAGGAGCTGGAGGACAGAGGGCCTTTCTAGAAGACTTGGAACTTGAGATAGGCAGAGAAGTGAAAACTGGCACCTTGTGCTCACGAGAACAACAGAAAGTTGTACGTTCAGTTCCGAGGTGCTGTGGGGATGAGTGTAGGGCTGTGTAAGTAGAAAGTGTATGGGATGGGTCAGTGGGTTGATGAGCTTGGCAGTCTTGCCTGGGACCCATGTATTTACTGCTTGGGTGGTGCTGCTCCCATTCATGAAAAACGAACACAGCTCTTCATAGCCCTCTGTTACCAAGTTTTCAAATTATTTCTACACCCAGACGGGTCTCATAGCTGCTTCTCAGCTGGGGAAAAGATCTTAAAATCACACAGTTGCTTTCCATTTAGGCAATAAACATGCAATGCCAAGAAAACACTGGTCCAGATGATGGTTAAGCAGTTGTCATGTAGGAGGGAATTCTCTTTTGCCAAAAAGCCAGGGAGGTGGAACAAAACCCACACACAAAAATCTCCGAATGCTCCTCTTGCATCTTCTGAAAAGGTTTAGATCTTTAGCAGCTGTTCTGTGTCACAATCTACAAGTGGAAAACGGGCGGGTTCTTCTTTTCTTTCTCCAAAAAATAATAAAGAAGCAATCCATTTCTGTCCCAGAGTTATTTCCTGAGATGAGAGCTCTTGAGAGCTCTGGCAACTCCCTCTTTTCGGTTTCCTCCCTGGGCAAAGGGCTTTTCCCCAAGGGTAGTGTCATTCATATAGCAGAGAGTATGGTCCAGCACAGAGTGCACCAGATGTTGGGCCAGAGGTTTCCTCCCTCACTCTGTCAATTGATTGGAAGAGAAAAACTATTTCCACTGAATCTCTAAGGGGGAGTGTTGTCTGGCAGACAGAAACTCTCAGTGTCTTTGAGCTGGGCTCGGGGATGTTGCTGCCAATTCCAAAAGTCCTTTCTTCCACAAATATGTAAGTAAAATAGGCATTCAGAAGGGGGAAGGTTCTTTGCTGCTTGTGGGAGTCTCAGTAAGATTTGCAGGGCCATGTGGTCACACCTCCCCCTGAGCAGTCTTCTACAACTTTGTATCCCCAGAGCCCAGCAGAACTGACTACTTCTTTTTCCATATTTGCAAATTACTCATCAAATTATGTTATAGTTACATGTGAATGTGTCTTTTCTACTGACTGAGGACAGATACTCTGTCTTTCTCAGCTTCATTTTCCAGAGTCTGGTAGAATGTAAGGACCCATGAGGCCAGGAATCTTTGTTTGCTCCCATATCTCAAGGACCCAAAACAGTGCCTGGCACACAGTAAGCAAGTCCTTATGAAAGAAAAAACAAATTCCTGCAAAAGAAGCTTACTTCAGAATTGTCAATGGGATAACCAAGTTCTGTGAGGACTCAGGTGCTGTTTTGTGTTTCTTGAGAGGGAAATAGAAGGTTGAGCTGCTTTTGTAGCTCCTCCTGTGCTCATTCTTTCCCAGCAGATATAAGTGTCCTGCAGGACCCTGGAGGACTGGTTAACTTTTCTTTAAGGAATCTGATCACGATTAAGCCATTCTCAGTGGAGCCCAATTCCTTGCAAAGCTACAGATGAGTGAAATCTTGATTAATACAGACAGCCAAGCTATCCAGAATCCTTAATTAATTTATTTTAAATTAACATTATTTGGATTATAATCTATCCTTGGGATAAAAACAAGATAATATAATTTTAAAACATAATTCTAGGATAAGTTAAGACTTAAGAAAGTTTTTAATTTACATCTCTGAACCATGTTATGTTAGTGACTCAATGATTGAAATTCTTGGTATAGTTTTCTCTTGCAAAATCTGTTTAACTCTTACTTAAATACATTCCATATGAAAGTAGACATGTGATTGTCATGTGGTATCGAGATGGTGAACCATCTCTGCAAATTGAACGTAAAATCTTAGTACTCTTCTTTTCTAGAATTGTGTCAATTGCTTTGAATGTCCACAAGAACAAAGGAAAAGGACAAATACAAACTGGAAGGTAATGAAGTTGAAATGTCACTTCCTAACAATAGGAATTTGACCTCTGAATGATGTGCCTAGGAATTTGATCTTCTAAATTATTCAAGAAAGATATATTTTTAGTATGTAGTTTTGAATATATGAAAAGTTGTGAATTAATGCACTAGAAAGCATTAAGTCAACAGAAATCTTTGATATATAAATGATTTTCCTGGTGACTAGCAGTTAGCCAGAAAATCTCTCTAGTCAGAACATTGCTCAATCATTCTAGTTACTGAGATTTTCAATGCAGATAATGACTCTCAGCAAGAACTGTTTAATAGCTCTTCTCCTATTTTCAAGATGAACACTGTTTGGTCTCTTGCAGGACTTCCAGCTGTCTGCACCTTGAGGTGGTGGTTTATATACTTCCATTCTTTTTTCCAATCTTTTATTTGCCTTTTTATCAATTAATTGAATGCATAACTGTGTATTGAACTCCTGCTATGTTCCAGGCCTGGAAGTCTAAGTGGGGCAGGTGATATGTAGATGGAGCTTTTATTTAAAAAGCACACAACATAAGGTCCTGCCCAGGAATCCTGTTAAAGGTGGTTTTTGTAGACCCTCTCACTGAGCCCCGTGTGCAGCATGCAGACACAGTCTATTGTCCGTGTTCTCTTGCTGTTAGGGGGCTGGCTCTGTCTAGGGTCCGCTCCACCCTGTGTGCCAGGGTCTGTCACCTGTCTTTCTGAATTTCAGTTTCCTTTTCTGCTTCACACTCCTAGGGAAGCACCTATTTTAAGATCCTCATGCTCCTTGGGGTCTTGTCCACACACCCGTGTGCATCCAGTGGCTCAGCCAACACTTTTTCCTGCACAGGTGCTGAGAGCAGAATGAACTACTTTGTGGATTCGGCCATGAACAGCCCTGGCCCTTACCCAGCATCTCGTCTTGCAGTGGCGGTGAGTGGTGGGCCCTTCGCTGTTCCTCTTTACCCACACAGCCTTCTGCACTCCCTTCCCCTGGCTTCCAGGTTCCTAACTTCTCCTGCTTAGAGAAGCCAACAAACCAAATGGCAACTTGGCTTTAGCTTTGAATCTTTTGGAGGAGATCAATTGTGAGATTTTCTCTGGTTTTATCAGCCTATAAAGTAGCAATCCAAGTCTCATAGCTTTGCTGCAGACAGTTTTTAATGTGTATAAATTTCAGACACTGTGACTCAGACATGATCCACAGACAAAGCCAGTTGATATCTATTGTTCCATTCATTTGGTGAGGATTTTTCCCTTATGAATGGGCCTTGGGCATACTGATATTATAATTTACCTTGGGGCTCAGGCACAAAAGAAAAATAATGTAAGTTTTCTAATCAGAGTATTTGAAAATGAAAATAAAATGGAATATGACAATAAACTTATGGGGAAATATAATGAAATCTTAGATTATAGAAAGGTAAAATGAAGGTTAGGACTCTATGTTTTTGCCTATTGAGAAGAAGATCTTTGACCATTCTGTGTGCTGTTTACTAAAATGCTGAGGAAAATCCTTTAAAAATATACTATGTGGAAGGTCCTGTAATGCTGTCACTGACCAATTCTAGTTGTAACGTGAAGTTTAAATATTAAAGGATATGTTGCTAATTTCTCTTTCTAAATTCTGTAGGTTTATATACAAAAATAGTTATTATTAAATTTGTTTTTTTTTATTTACTCTAGAATTGGACAGATAACTTTATTCTTAACTCTTCCAGTACACTCATGGATCTAAATACATACCAATTAACATGCTCTTTATTCCGACTTTGGCCTTTGACTATGACCTACCAGAGGTTATGTGTAAATTTTAGCACTGGTAGCTTTAAGGTATCTATCACTGTGCACTATAATTGGACATGAAAATATCTGAATTTTCGTGCAGTACTGAAAAATCAGTTGCTCACAAGCTATTGTGTATTCAAGGTGAAACACATAGTGTGAGGATGGTTAACACATCTGTCTTTGCAGGTTGTTCTGAAATACATGCTTCATTTTACAATGGCTTCTGTTTTCATGGAAGCACCACCTTCATTCCAAAAAATTAGAATCACAAAAGGATTTAGACCATAATTATATCAGAAATATGTCTTTAAAAATCCACATACACAAAGGTAAGCAGTCACTGAAGTTTGCCTAATAGAAATTGACAAGGGAGGCTGGAGATTTAGCTCAGTGGCACTGTGGCTGCCCTGAAAGTGCAAGGTCCTGAGTTTGGTCACCAGTACAAAAAAAAAAAAAAATGCCAAGGGACTTGCAGTTGAAGGCCATGTAAGGGGCTGCAGAAATATCCAACAAAATATCCTCCTGCTTTTCAAGGAGAGATTATCGTCTGAGATCTACACAAATTGTACTCCTTTGTACTCCTTTTTTCTTAGAGATAATATTGCAGAGACTTGTTAAAATAAAGATGGTATAATAGGAGGACCAGTGTGTCACTGGCAAGATCATTTAAAACTGGCCTATGTTAATTCTATCAGCACTATAATCAAGCAAGATGAATATCTTCTTTAAGTGAAGAATGCCTTACAAATACATACTTTTTAATGGCACTAAAGTAAAAAAATATATAATATAACCATTTTGGTTATACGTACAATATGATATCCTGGAGAGGGTATCTGGAACTTTTAGATTTTGAAATATCAAATCAATCTAATTGCATATTTTCAACTAAAGAGCCTTACTCCAAATGAATACATTAGACATTTTTAATGTATTTTGAATAGTTTAATCGGTTTCAAAACAAAGGCCTCACCCCCATAGTTATATCTGGAAAACATTATCGACATGAGAGATCCTTCTTGCTACAAATTTCAAAGCTGGAGTAAAAGCAGGAGATTACACAAGAGAGCTGCTAAGATATCCTTCCAGTACCTTCACTCATAACCTCTCAGGACCTCAATTTCTCCATCATGGAACTAGTCAGGCCACCCTTCAGAACCATAGTGTAAATGAAGAAGTCCTTAATGTCTCTGCTCTAAAAAAACTGAAGAAATCAATAACGTTTTTCAGTACAAAGTCAAGTTCAACAAACCGGCTCTAACAGATAATTTATGATCTTAGGCTGGGCTATAAGAAACAGTCAAAGCATCTATAAATTATCTACAAAGTATAACCACAGCAGATTGGCACTAGGGATTCTAGCAAGCAAACTTCACATTCTACATCTCAGTTTAAGATTTGGCAGAAGTGTAAGCAGAGTTTTATAAACTTTTAAAGACAAGGAAGTAAAAGCCCCAGTATCCAGGGTCTTTTTAGTGCATTGGAGCCTTAGTTTTTAGAGCTCAGCACAAAGGGCTTAATCCAATAATCCAAGTCCCCCTGGCAGGTGCTATAGTCTGATTTAGTCAGATGGAGCTACCAAAGTTTAAAAATCAGTCCCAGGCATGGCATGCTTCAGGGAGAAAGGAAAACCCTGAGAGTCAGTGAGATTTTCAATAGGGGGTGCTTTTGCCCACACAGGGGATTATTTGATGATGACCGAGACCTATCTGGCTATCAAAATTTGGGAACTGTGACAGTATTCAAGTCCATAGAGGCCAGGGATATAATTAAACTTACCATAATACATAAAGTAGCTTCCTATGACAAGGAATTATCCAACCTCTGACAAAACTGTGCTGAGCTTGAGAAACCTTGGCCCAGAGTAGCCACTGAGCACCAGCTTCACTTTTGGCAGCAGAATGCTCCTCACATGCTCCCTGACTGCTCTAAGCAGGTCTTGGATCCTTTAAAACATTATTTTTGAAATTCTAATAGTGTATTTCACAGAACTAGAGAAAACAATCCAAAAATTCATTTGGAATCAGAAGAAACCTAGAATAGCAAAAGCCATTCCAGGGAACAGAGACATGACAGGGGGAATCACCATCCCCAACTTGAAACTATACTACAAATCACGGTGATAAAACAGCATGGTACTAGCAAAGATACAGAACCGAGGATCAGTGGAACAGATTAGAAGATCCAAATACAATCCAAACATACTTAGCCATCTCATCTTTGACAAAGAAGCCAAACTTTCCTCACTGGAGGAAAGAGCCTCTTTAATAAACGGTGTTGGAAAAACTGGATTTCAGCATGCCAAAGGTTAAAACTAGACCCTTATTTTTCACCCTGCACTAAGCTAAAATCCAAGTGGATTAAAGATCTAAATATTAAACAGAAACACTAAACTTGCTGGAAGATAAATTAGGCAGAACTCTTGAAGACATGGGCATAGGAAAAGACTTTATGAACAAATCCTCAGTAGCACAAAAAAATCAACAACCGATCTCATCTTTTTAAAATCTTCTGCATTGTAAGAGAAACCACCAACAGAGCTAAGAGATAACCTACACTATGGGAAAAAATTTTTACCAGCTGTTCCTGAGACAAAGGTCTACTATCTAGAATATATACAGAACTAAAAAAAATCAGATCCCCAAATACAAAGACCCAATTCAAAAATGGGCACCTGAAATGAACAGACATTTCTCAGACAAAGAAATAAAAAGCAGCAAATAAACATATGAAAAAATGTTCAACATCACTAGTCATTCAAGAGATACAGATGAAAACAATACTGAAATTCCACCTCACCCCAGAAAGAATGGCTGCTATAAAGAAATGAACCAGCAACAAATGCTGGTGGGGTTGTGGGGAGAAAGGAGCCCTTCTCCATTGTTGGTGGGAGTGCAGACTGGTGTAACCACTGTGAAAATCAATATGGAGATACCTCAAACAAGTAGGATTAGAAGTCCCATTTACCCTGTTGGGAGTCTTCCCAAAAGAATTAAAAGAATCTTACCACAGCAATATATGCTCACCCATGTTATAGCGGCATAGTATGTGATAGCTAAAACTTGGAAATAGCCCAAATTGCCCATTAACTGGAGACTGGATAAAGAAGGTGTGTGTGTGTGTGTGTGTGTGTGTGTGTGTGTGTGTTTATAAGGTAGGGTACTACTCAGCCATAAAGAATGAGAAACTAAAGACATTTATAGCTAAGTGGATGCTCATTGAGGCCATACTCTTAAGTGAAATAAATAGAACACACATGTAAATACCGAATAGTTTCTCTGGTGTGAAAAACTTAAAGTGTAAATAAGGATCAAAATGTATAATTGATATTATGTAATAGGAAGAAAATGTCTAAAGGAGTAGGGGAAGTGGGAGGGGTAGGGGAAAGATAAGAAGGGAAAAGAAAAAATATGACAAAAGGAAAAAAATGGAAACAAAGTCTTGTAAAAAGGGAGGGGTAGAGGGGGGGAAGGGAGGGCAGGTGAATGGGGAAAAAATAAGAACCAAGACATTTCACGTAAAGGTACAAAATCCCAATGGTGAATGTAACTGTATTATACATCTAAAAAGTACCAGTAAACTTAATTGGGGAAAAGAAAATGAAAAAAGTGAAAATGTGTTCCTCTTCTGAGGGGCTGCTTTAGTTGATCAAGGAAAACTCCTCTGAAATAAAATGGGACTATTTTCTAATCCTGAAAGATTTCCAAGCCTCAGATTGCTAATTAGCAAATTAGGGATCCTGTTAACATTGTATGGTCGGTCCTCTGCTGGACCAGAAGAGTGCTTGAAATATTTAAGGCCACAATTAAAATCAATGCCACCATCAGGTTACAGCCATTTTACACAGAACTCACATTTTCTGCTTAAGGTCAGTTTGTCAAACGCAGGACACATGTTTTCAGGATGTTAAGGTCATCCCCTCAGGAGACTGTAATGAATGAAGTGATGTCACAGCCAGCCAAGTAGAGAAACAACACTTTTGGAAGTGGCCTGGCCTTTGTGTGGGTGTGGGGCTGTTTCCAGGTACTTATATGGGCTGTGTGTCAGGGACCCTTCCTCTAGGGAAGGAAGTGGCTCTTTCCTGTTGTGGTCCCAGCTGGCCAGCCAGCCCTGAGCCCTGGAAGTCTGTGTAGTGCGGGTGCCCT